GTTTGAATGCTGTAGATGGATACCTAGTTCCCTCCCATCTACTGATTTGTTTGTTTCTGTAACCAAACACATTTTCAGATAGAAGGAGCCTTAAAAAAAAAAAAATCACATTGAGTATCTTAAGCATGGATGAATGAGAGTGTGTGGAGCTGCCCCTCACCCTCCACCCCTTTGTGGTTTATTCTCGAATTTTCCCAGTCTCTTTAAACAGAAAAAATTACTGATACTATAATTACCTTCCAGAAACTGAGCCTTAATTTTTTTTTTAGAGGGGGAAATAAGTTTTTCCCAACTCACACAGCATAAGCAATGTTTGACAGCAATATGATGCCGTTGTATACTCCTGAGAGTATTATATCTGTTCTGGTAACCATGTACAGAACGTGAAACTGTCTTCTCATGACTATAAATAAATTCTATATTTCTAAAGGCATGTTGCGTTATTTCCCCCTTCCTCTCCCCTTTTCTCGTTTTGAGTAAGTTAAATTCATTCTTATTACAAACAAGGGTTGTTTGATTTTCATTCCAGTGGCATAGTTAGATTTTATTGGACTGGAACAAATGGGAAACAAGAACATGAGCCATGGCCTCCCCCGCCTCCCCCTGCTTAAATCTTGTTTTTTTAGCTGAGTTATTTGGACTCTGGCCCTGTGAACTCCACCTTGAGCAAAGTCACAGACTACAGTTATTTTGCAGGTGAATTCAAGCAATTATATCTAACTATCTAGGTAGGCTTGGCATAGCACTATCAGTGTATACTCTTCTTATCTAGCTTGCTAGTTGGATTTTATCCCAAAAGGAAACTTGCAAACAGGTTACTCTCCTGGTCATATACCACTCTGTTCTCACTCTCCTCACTTTCCCTTTGTTGTTTGTTTAAATTTTGCCCCACAAACTCCTGTAGGAGTGATCTTGACTGAAAATTAGCAAATCCAAATATGTATGTTGGGTGACTTTTTGTCTTATTTATATTTTCTCAGAAAAAGGAGTGCCTTTATTTAAAAAAAATTTATGTTAATTGTGGCTTGAATTAATGAATCTATTTCATTAGCCCAGTTCTCAGCAAAGTGTATCTTTCCAAGAGCACTGTAAAAATCCCAGTGCCTGGGCCTTGCTCTGACTTTGGTCTTCCAGCAGTGTGCAGGCCCGCTCTGCCTCCTGGCCTCAGCCTTTCTCTTTCATCATTGTTCACTTCACTTTCATCCACCTTCTGCCCTTGTCCCCAAACCTAAAAAAAACCAAAAAACAAAAACACAATGCTATCATGTATTTGCTAGATAACCTAATAGTGTCTCAGTCAGAGCTTTTGTCTCGTAGGTCTGATTCACACAACTGGTTTCCAGGTTGCTTAAGGAACTGCCATGTTGTTGAAACCATGTTTTTGGGAAGCTGATATTGCTCAGACTTAGCATATGCTCCTTAGAACTCCTTTTACATTTGCTTTCCCTAATATTATTCCATACTCACTTCAGAGATATTGTGTCCAGAGTTTAGTATTCCTGAGTCTTCCGTAATTATAAGGCAATATGAAGGGAAGGTGGGATTTGGTAGAAAAATCTCATCAGATAAGTAAGACCTTTCATCTAACCCTTGCATACGTTCATGAATTGAGCTTTGAGGTTGCCCTATTTTTATTTCAATTATTTGTTATGTGGTCATATTTATAGGCAGCAGGTTCTAGGAATGCCAAGGGTTTCTAAAATATCATGCCACATTCTGAGATTGGATGAGCAGCCATGTGTGAAACAGTAAATATACTCAGAGCGCGGGGGAAATAGTTTCGGATGCCACTCTGGGGCAAAGAACAGTCTCAGGGGAAGTTTCCTTGCGTCAACAGACTTTCCAAGGTATAGTCACCTTTGTCTTGGTGATTAGCATGATCTCAGTGCATATGTTGCAGTTTGCGCATTCTGTTGATATTTTAACTTACATAATAAGGATTGTTGATTTCTTGTGATTACAAATAATGTATTGTAGTCATGAGGACTGCCTCTTGGCAAAGCTGCTCTCAGGCCTTTTTTTTTTCCTTAAATGTGGCATCACTGATCTAAACTGCTTCATGATAGAAAAGGGTAGGTTATGATGGGAGGATAGTCCGGGGGTAGAGGTGGAGTGGAGGGAAGTGGGGAAGAGTGTTGTGGGGAGGGGGATGGAGGGCAAGGCTGGGATCTGGGATTGATACTGCTAGGGGCCCTAATAAGTATCTTCACAAAAGCTGTGTGTTTGCTTTTGTTTTTTTAACACCTGTTTCTAGTGGATTGATACGACATATGATTTAAAAAAAAATGGTTAAGATAATGGGATAGAGAATCATAAAACATTTTCTTTACTTTTTTCTTTCTTTTTTTTTTTTTTTGAGATAAAGTCTCACTCTGTTGTCCAGGCTGGAGTGCAATGGCACAATCTCAGCTCACCACAACCTCCGCCTCCTAGGTTCAAGCAATTCTCCTGCCTCAGCCTCCTGAGTAGCTGGGATTACAGGCACGCGCCACCATGCCCAGCTAATGTTTTGTATTTTTAGTAGAGACGGGGTTTCACCATGTTGACCAGGATGGTCTCGATCTGTTGACCTCGTGATCCACCCGCCTCGGCCTCCCAAAGTGCTGGGATTACAGGCTTGAGCCACCGCGCCCGGCCAGAGTTGTATTTTTAGTAGACACGGGGTTTCACCATGTTGACCAGGATGGTCTCGATCTGTTGACCTCGTGATCCACCCGCCTCGGCCTCCCAAAGTGCTGGGATTACAGGCTTGAGCCACCGCGCCCGGCCAGAGGCAAATATTTGTTATTATTACTACTGCTGTAAGCAAGAATTGGTTATTGGTTCATAATGTCTTCTACTGGCCATATGTCTTCATTAGCTCAGTTCATGTTCATACCCTTTTTATAGGTAATAGATTGTAACTTCTCAATCCTATGTCTTTTCCTTCAGAATTAGCCCTGCTCCTAAATAAAATAATTTCAGTCATCCACAACACTGTCTTGCAGACATATTTTTCAAAATTGGTCTGTCTAGGGAAAGGGCTTTCCCTTGATTTTGTTGATTTTTTTCCTCTTGTGTAGTGGCTGTGCCCAAAATGTAAGGAAAATCAAGAAATTGTAAAATGAGGCTATTCATATTAAATGTAAAACATAAAGTAATATTTAAATTAATTTGTGGCTTGTAAAAACTTTGGAAGCTTATATAATGAACTAGTGGCACATAATTTCTGAATTTTAATTAGACTCTTTTTGTTGGTATTTGAAACATCGGCCTTAGCATACCTATTTTTAAATTATTATTAATCAATATATAATTGTATATGTTTATGAGGTAGTGTGGTGTTTTGATACATGAGTACAATGTGTAGTGAGCAAATCAAGATAATTAGCAAATCCATCACTTTAAACATTTACCATTTCTTTATATTGGAAACATTCAAAATATTGTCTTTCAGCTATTGAAAATATACAATAGGCCAGGCATGGTGGCTCACATCTGTAATACTAGTACTTTGGGAGGCTGAGGTGGGCTGATCACCAGAGATCAGGAGTTCTAGAGCAGCCTGGCCAACATGATGAAACCCCATCTCTACTAAAAATACATAAATTAGCTGGACATGGTGGTGTGTACCTGCAATCCTAGCTACTCGGGAAGCTGAGGCAGGAGAATCACTTGAACCCAGGAGGTGGTGGAGGTTGCGGTGTGCAGAGATCACGCCACTGCACTTCAGCCTGGGCAACAGAGTGAGACTCCATCTCAAAAAAAATATACACACACACACACACACACACACACACACACACACACACAATAAATTGTTAACTATAGTGCCTCTACAACGCTATATAGAACACTAGAATTTATTTCACTTATCTGGCTGTAATTTTGTAACTTGGAACAAATCTCTTCCTATACTCCCCTCCCTCCAATCCTTCTCAGCCTCTAGTAATCACTATTCTACTCTCTACTTCTATGAGATCAACTTTTTTAGCGTCCACATATGAGTAAGAACATGTGGTATTTATCTTTCTGTGCTTGGCTAATTTCACTAACCATTAATGTCCTCCAGCCTCAGCCACGTTGCTGTGAATGACAGGATTTCATTCTTATGTATTTATTTATTTTTGTTGTAGATTTCATTCTTTTTATGGCAGAATAGTATTCCATTGTGTATATACACCACATTTTCTTTATCCATTCATCTGTTGATAGACACAGATTGATTCCCTATCTTGGCTACTGTAAACAGTGCTGTAATAAACATGGCAATGCAGATATCTCTTTCACATTTTGATTTTTTTTCCTATGGATAAATACTCAGTACTGGGATTGGGGCATCATATGGTAGTTCTGTTTTTAGTTTTTGAGGAACATCCATGCTGTTTCCTATAAAAGCTGTACTAATTTAGGTCTTTACCAACAGTGTGTAAGAGTCCCCCTTTCTCTGCACCTTTGCCAGCAGTTGTTACCTTTTGTCTTTTTGATAGTAGCCATTCTAACTGAGGTGAGATGCTGTCTCATTGTGGATTTGATTTGCATTTCCTTGCTGATTAATTATCTTGAGCATTTTTTTTTGTAAACTTGACCATTTGCATATCTTCTTTTGAGACATGTCTATTCAGATCATTTGCCCATTTAAAAATCAGATTATTATTCTTTTACTATTGAGTTTTTTTAGTTCCTTGTATGTTCTGGATATTAATCTCTTGTCAAGGTTGGGTGCAGTGGCTCATACCTGTAATCCCAGCATTTTCAGAGGTGGAGGTGAGAGAATAGCTTGAGGCTAGGAATTTGAGATCAGCCTAGGCAACACAGTGAGACCCTGTCTCTACAAAAAAAAAACAAACATTTTTTTTAATCAGCTGGGCATGGTGGTGCATGTCTGTAGTTCTAGCTACTTGCTAGAAGCATAAGGATCACTCGAGCTTAGAAGTTTGAGGCTGCAGTGAGCTATGATCACTCCAGTCTAGCCTGGGTGACAGAGTGAGACCCTGTTCAAAAAAAAAGAAAAAATTCCTAGCTTTGCACAGTGGCAGTATTGTAGCCAATGAGGTTTATCCAAGGTGCAATTATCGTTAATTAAAACTTTTCACAATAATTTGCTGTTATGACTTGCAATATAGTTAGCAATGGCCATCTTTGACCGTCTCTACAGAGACTGATAAACAAAACAAACAAACAAAAAATTCCCGTCAGATGACGGAAATTTTTTTCCCATGCTGAAAAAATCTTTTCCCATGCTGCAGGTTGTCTCTTTAATCCATTTATTCTTTTCTGTGCTGTGCAAAAGCATTTTGGTTATATATGATTCCATTTGTTTATTTTTTCTGTGCTTTTAAAATCTAATTCAGAAATTTTTTGCTCAGACCAATGTACTGAAGCATATCCCCTGTTTTCTTCTATTAGTTTAATAGTTTTGGGTGTTTAAAGAAGACCAATGTCCTCAAGCATTCCCCTTGTTTTCTTCTAGTAGTTTCATTGTTTTCAGTTTTTCATTTAAGTCTTTAATCTGTGTTGAGTTGACTTTTGTACTAGGGAACTAGTCTCATTTTTCTGCACATGGATATCTGGTTTTTCTAGTACCATTTATTGAAGTTACTATCCCTTTCTCATTGAATGTTTTTGGCACCTTTGTAAAAAAATTAGTTGGCTTTAAGTACATGGATTTATTTCTGCATTGTCTGTTCTGTTCCATTGGTCTATTTTTATTTTTTTATGCCAATATCATGTTGTTTTGGTTAATACAATTTGGTAGCATATTTTGAAGTCAGGTAGTGTGATGCCTATAGATTTGTTCTTTTTGCTCAAAAATCATATGGTTTTTGTTTTTCATTTTGTTGATCCACCACGTTTATGGATTTGCATATATTGAGCCATCTTTGCATTTCTGAGATTAAATCCAACTTGATCATGCTGTATTATTTTTTATGTGCCATTGAATTTGGTTTGCTAGTATTTTGTTGAGGATTTTTGCATCTTTGTTCATCAGAGATTTTGGCCTATAATTTTCTATTTTTTGTTGTGACTTTGGTTTTATTTTCAGAGCAATGCTGGCCTCATACAATGAGCTTGGAAGAATTCTCTCCCTTTCAATTTTTTTGGAATAGTTTGAGAAGCACTGATATTAGTTCTTCTTTAATAATTTTGTAGAATTCAGCAGTGAAGTCATTTGGGCTTGGACTTTTTCTTTATTGGGATATTGGGAAATGTTTTAATACTTGTTCAATCTGATTGCTTGTAATTATTCTGTTCAGGTTTTTCATTTCTTCTTGGTTTAGTCTTGGCAGATGGTATGTGTCCAAATGTGTCCAGAAATTTATCCATTTCTTTTAGGTTTTCCAATATGTTAGCATAGAGTTGTTCATAATAGTCTCTAATGATCCTTTGTATTTCTGTGCTATCAGTTGTAATGTCTTTTTATTCACTTCTGATTTTATTTATTTGGGTCTTTTTCTCTTTTTTCTTAGTCTAGCTGTTCACTTTCAAATTTTGTTTATTGTTTTGAAAAAGCAACTATTTGTTTCATCTATTTTTGTACATTTTTTGGTCTCATTTCATTTATATTTGCTCTGATACTATTATTTATTTTCTTTTTTTTTTTTTTTTTTTTTTTGAGGCAGGGTCTT